AAAAAAAAAAATTAGCCAGGAGTGGTGACATGGGCGTATAGTCCCAGCTATTCAGAAGGCTGAGGCAGGATTGCTTGAGCCTCTGAGTTTGGGGTTGCTGTGAGTAATGATGACATCAGTGCACTCTAGCCTGGGCAACAGAGTCAAAGCCTATACCTTTAATATAAATAAATAAATAAATGCAAAAATAAATAAAAGGAGACAACACATAGGCAGGAAGCAGTCAGCAAAAAAGAGGGGCCTAATGAACAGTGCCCACTTCCTGCCTTTCTCCTGGTCTGTTTCTCCTTCTGGCTGAAGGAGAGAATGACCCTGCATTCACTCTTGGAGAAGGAGAATAGGAGAGGGGAATGAGATCATGTCTGCTTGCCCGTACCCTAGGAAGTAAGACAACATATCTGTGACTGTCATAGCTGGTGGATGTGGCTACCACCTGACCCTATGCATACAGATGGTTCATGTCTAGGGCTTTGTATATCCAACTCCAGCAACATCCAGACGACCCAGGACATGTCACCTAACCTCCTGGAGTCTTACTTTCATCAACCATAAAGTTATCTACCTAGTAAAGTTGTTCTGGCAAAAAAGGATGCATGGAGGGCCTTGAATCACATGTCATATGTAGGAATCACTCACTCAAGGTAGATGATTATGATTTTTTCTTGAGACAGAGTCTCACTATGTCAGAGAGTAGAGAGCTATGGCATCACAGCTCACAGCAACTTCAAACTCTTGGGCTTATGCAATTCTCTTGCCTCAGCCTCTGAAGTAGCTGGGACTACAGGCGCCTGCCACAACACCCGGCTATTTTTTTGTTGCAGGTGTCATTGTTGATTTTAATGGGCCTGGGCTGGGTTCGAACCTGTCAGCCTCGGTGTATGTGGCAGACACTCTACCCATTGAGCAACCGTTGATTATGGTATTTACCACCCTATCATTGTTACTCTCTTACCAGTCATCTCCCTCCTTGCTGAGCAGGCTTGGGGCAAGAACCAAGGGAGGAGGGCAGTGGTAAGAAGTGAGTGGCAGGCAAGAACCGTGCTCCTGGTAGCTCCCTGATCCTTCCCAATCCCGTATTAGTGCACCCCCAGGCTTACCACATCACCTACCAAGCACCCCGGAAGCCTGGGCATCCAGACGGTGTCCCACACCAACCTTCAGACTGGTGAATGCTGGTCCACGTACTGGAGGAAAAACCAAAGTTCATTTACTCAATCTTTAGATTTTATGATCATCTCATTCCTAGAACTGAGCCTCATGGAGCCCAAATGATTGACTCTCAGGCTTCCCCACTATGGAATCTGGGGCTCTCAAGCATTTCCTCAGTTTCCTGGGGTCCAAAGAAAGGGCAACCCAAGATGCCTCTTATGTTAGTTATCATAATTTTCCCAGTGAGAGGCTTTAAGAGGACTAGGTAGACTGGGGGATCAAGATTGTGGAGTCCCTGCAAACTCCGTTGAAGGAAAGTCCTGGTAAGAAAATGGAGGATCTAGCTGGGCATTGTGGC